TTTTCTGTGTGCAATTTACATGCCAAAATGTGAGAATGGAACTGTAGATTTGCCTTCACAGGTACTGCAAGTTAGTTTTAAAAAAGATATATTAATAATAAGAGGAAATATACACAAGTGTGCAAAGTGCTCTACACATTGGCACAGCCATAGTGCATCTACCTAGGAAGTCTCAGTCTTCTTCATTGTACATAATTATACTACAGAAATATATCTTCCTATATTCTTAGCACTATTTCCATTTTATATGGATTGATGGATAAGATTTCTCCAATTTATATTATTCTTCTGCCATACCTTTATTATGATGTTTTGTCAGCTTTTCCTGTCTTCTTATCTAGTTGAACCATCTTGTTCTGGGTTTCTTTCATTCATATTACAATTTGAATGTCTTTGTTGATATCCTCTCTTTTTTATTGTAGTTGTTTCTCTTCTAACACTGTTAACAACTTCAAATGTGAACTTCAACTGTAAAGATGGAGACAGTATGTATATGTGTGTGTTTATTTGTTTTTCTGTAAGTAAAGTAAACATGTTGGTAATTAGTGATGTAATTTTTATAGGAAATGTGCAAAATGACAATGGGTCCTTGTCGTTTACTTGATTCATCCAGCAACTGGCCTTCATTCTTTAAATGTGATGACACAACCAGGTTTCCACCAATGTGCAAGGTAAGATTGCTTCACTTTTATAAGTAGATGATAAAACCTTTTAAGGCATTAGTTAAAAGCTTCTTCAGAAGGAAATATTATTGGAAATAAAAACAACACCATAAAATGTAGATGGAACTTAGAAATATTTGTTGTTGTTGTTGTTGTTGTTTGTTTGCTCTCTCTCTCTCTCTCTCCCTCTCTCCCTGTTACATGTAGGATAAGTAGGGCAGTAATGTGTGTGCCTTGAATTTGAGAAGTATCTAGTAAGAATTTTGGCAAGAACCCCAGCTAATTTGACTGGCACTGTTTTCAATATTTTCTCCAGAGAGGTATTAAGATAATACAATGAAGTAGAAATAGAATTTATCTTTTTGGTAATCTACTGTGAAACTGTGTTGGGACCAGAAAGCGAAGACTTGTATTTAACTTTAATCTTAAAACCATAATCTTTTTGATTTGTATTATATGAATTAATTTGTTTTTGCCACTGATGATGACCTCTTGAGGTCAAAACGCTTTTGGCATTAGTGTCCTCCAAAGTGTAATCACTTTATTTGTATGCATGTTTTATATTTTATTTAACTATTAAACTGTGACATTTATGGGAATTTTACATATAAAGCAGCAGTAGGCACTGCTTAGTACTTCCCTAACATTGTTCTCTTCTGTTAATATGTTAATAATGATATTTTTAACTTGGCACTTTAGAATGATGTCCGAGAGCTCAAATTTAACACGACTGCTCAGTGTCAGGACCCTCTGGTGCCAACTGACAATGCACAGGCATTCTATGAGGCGGTGGAAGGATGTGGAATTCGATGCCAGAACCCATTATTAACTGAGGATGAGCATAGACAGATCCACCAGCTTATTGCATGGGCAGGAACCATCTGCCTTCTTTTCAACCTCTTTACTGTGGTAAATAACTTCTTTGAAACAATAAGTTATGATCTTGGAGTATTATTATTATTGTTATTATTACATATTAGTCTTATTATTATTTTGCCTGAATTTTAATGTTTGTTGAAGAATTATTAGTTGTTAAGTTTCGATGAAATTTGGTATGGAGTTGATGGGTTAATTCAACTTTATTTCCTGATCAGTATAACCTCTGCTGTACTGTCAAATTCATCCATTTTCTTTAAAACCTCCAACCTAAAAAAATTGGTATATGACAAAATATATACCTCATTAAAATTTATTCCATGTGATATTTATACTATACTGGAGTTAGATCTGGTTACACCATTATACCTGACATGTATTCAGTAAGTAAGTTATCTGAGGTAGATTTGTACAAGATTGGTTCAGGGATTGAGATTAGCATTTTCCAATGGAATCAACTGATTAAGTTGTATTGTTTCACCTAAATGGAAGCAGAGCCAGCTTCTGAGATAATATATGAAGGAAAATGTCCAAAAATATGCATCAGTTTAGATCTGTACACCGTCACTGTTCTTTGTGATTTTCAGGTTACTTTCTTCATTGACTGGCGATCAGCGAATAAGTATCCAGCACTTGTCATTTTCTACATCAACTGCTGTTTCCTAGTGTCTTGCATTGGTTGGCTGGCACAGTTCATTCCTGGTGCACGAGAGAGTATAGTCTGTCGTAAAGATGGTACCCTGAGAATGTCTGAACCCAGGTAAGACAAACATCCATGTTTATGTTTTTAACTACATTTAGTATGTTTTAGATTTTATCATGTGTGTGTGTCCATTCATATGTCTGCTTCCCTAAATAACGTTTGAGCAAAATTTTTAAAACAATTTCATTGCACAGTTAATGAGGTTAGGATTTTGGGTAATGTGAGGGCTGAATGAATGAAGAAAATACTGTAATGATGCAATATGTTACAGTGCAGGGGAGAACCTCTCCTGTGTGATTGTGTTTGTGCTGGTGTACTACTTCATCATGGCTGCTTTGGTGTGGTTTGCAGTTTTGACATATTGTTGGCACATCAGTTTTCAGGCACTGGGTAAATATTATATTTGCTGATACTTCAAACAACTTGAAACAATAAATTTAGTTTATTTTAGAATTTACATCATAATTATTACATTGGGATCTGAAATTTCACAGGTTATTTTATACGGTGTTTTCTATTTAAAACATAACCCTAATTACTACACAAGAACCTTTTCATGCACAAAATTATGAAATCAGTCCTTGTCAGGATATGCATTGCCAAATGCTTCACGAACAACAGCAAATGATTTTAAAGCAAATTAATGTTTGAGAATGAACACAAATTTTGCTTTTGAATACACCATGTTTGCATTTGCGCAGATTTTGTGCAACTGGCATGAGCAGCAGCCTAGCAACAAGGTGGTTTTCACTCAATTGTCGTGGGAGAGGTTATGAGATTTTGTTACATGGAGGTGGATCTACATATGATTTTACCTTCTTAATGTGTATAGTATGTAATATATGGTTGTTGTTGGATTGTGTTTTAAGTGACACTCTGTATTAAGCATTTTCTGATAAAACATTTGATTCTTGGTCATTCAGAATTGGTATTTACCTGGGTTACTGTCATTAATCAGAAACCTGTTAAAGCTTACAGTTTGTAATAGCCATTTTCAGTGGTCTAATTCATGGGTAAATGTGCAAGTAGTTCAG